GATAACAACACGTACATCATCCCTATAATCATCTTTTTTTCTTTCAGTTTCTGTATTGTTTGTGTGAAGACAATTGATAAAGTTTTCTCTCTCTTTCTCATCCTACAAATTGTAGTTGGTATGTATCTGAATAATCTAAATAATAAAAAAATATAAAATCATACTCCCTTTAAAAGCACGAGTTCGGAAAAATTTTTTGGTAGACAAAAATACCATTGGAATTCAAATATTATGATCTATTAAGTAAGAGTAAGTTGATAAATTGATGAATTCTTATTGGATATACATAGTATGAAGATAATGATACACTTTAAATTGAAATGTAAATATAAATAAAATTATTAAATGCCAAATTTACAAATATCTACAAAATAAATGGCATATATGTAAAAACCAAATAAATTAATGAGACAAATAATGTCTATCCCAAAGGTCGAACTTAGGAACAACGTAGACCTATAAATGTACATAATAGGGATGAGATATTTACAAAATCCATCAAACAAATTAAAAAGATAAAATTCATTCTCAAAATTATAAAAAATAAAAATTACGGAAAATAAAAATCATACTCTCTTTAAAAGCACGAGTTCAGAAAAAGCTTTCTATAGTCAAAATTTCCATGTACTACTTTAAATATTCAATTTAAATTATAATCTATCCTAATCATACTTATATCTTATCCTAATACCTCATGAACTATCTATACCTTAACAATTTAAATAAGATTAATAAAATATATAAAACGGTTCTGTAGTATCAATTTATTACATGAAGTATTACAAAAAAGCAAAAAGTTTTAAAAATTAAACAAAATACTCTCAAAAGTTTAAAATTACATAAAATAAAAAGCTAAAAATTTAGAACTTGGCAAATAAAATAGTAATTGTGTGATATTCTTTCATTAAGATATATAAATATAAGTTATAATTTAAGGTTTATTATCCCTTTTCAGAATCTAAAAATAATTAAGTTGATATTGGTAAAAAATAGTAATAATAACATATTAAAATATCCAGTTAAAAAATAAATTTTTAAATATATATATATATATAATTATTTTAAAAAATAAAGTAATTCTATATAATTTTACCAATATGTTAGAGCAGCAAAAATAAATAAGTATTATTTATTGATAGAAGACTAAATCGCAAAAAACTGATATAAAACTATAATATTATAGGTTAACATTAATTGATTATAAATTATAAATATTGATCTCTAATGGTAATATTATTTATAGGGTAAAAAATTATAAAGATTTATGTATGGAGAAATATTAGAAAATTTAGAGATATCCTTCAAAAGAATTAAGTGGTTTTCATTTCAAATGGAATTCAGAACGTCCATGAATCACTTCAATTAATACTAACATCAGTTATATTTATCAAAGAAACACCGACTGAGTACCCCCTGAAGAATATATTTAACACTTTGTTCCAATCAAAGAAACCTTCTTCATGGAATATAAAGAAAAATTACTATGTCATGACTTTGTGTAAGCAAAAAATATAAAATCTCCCTTTTTCTTTTTCTTATATAGTATCACAATCTTGCGTGTGACTTTATTTAGGGGTATGACTATTAGCGAAGGATTAATTCTTAAAGACACGGTCAAAGATAATGATGTAATAGCACTATTAGAATTCAAGATCTCTAAATATGAATGTAGTATATTTCATTACTAAAATTCTTATTAAATGCCACTAAATATAAAATTCACCATATAACTGTCTCAATTTTATAGAGAATATATGTATGTTATCGTAAATTGCGTCAATAATATATATCAATCTAAAGATACAACTTACTGAAGAAATAAGAGAATAGTAAGTAAACCAAGCAAACATCCATATAACACCGTAAAGAAAAAATTTATATTTTAAAGCTAATATGCAACGCTCTTTTAGAGTAAGTTGCCAAGACAAAAGCATCTCCATTAAGGCTCTTTATAAATACAGTAGAAATTGAAATTACTAATATATACAACAATTATAACATTCAAAAGAGGTACGATCTTAGAAAATATACTCGAAAATTCATACAATTAAACCTAATAATAATTTACCAATATATAGACACACTATCGCACATTTAAAGCAATGATAACTACCATTTATAATAGAGTTGATCAGTGGTTCTATGTTTGCAAAGGCTACAACAAGAAAATAGATAGAGATGTTAATAATAAGTGTCTAGATGATAAATGTTGTAGAATCGTCAATGATGTAATACTAAGGTTAAGTGATATCCCTTCTTGATAAAATAAATATATCAAAATTAAATATTAATATTATAATCTAAAGCAAATTGACAATGAAAAATATAATGTATTTAGTTCAGATCCTCATATAAAATGACACAGACAGAGCAAATGTAACATTATGACACAGTAAAAATTCTTATTAGATGCACAGCAGAATAATTCATTGTAGAGAAAAAAGAGGTAGCTCCTAATATTATTTAAGTAATAGTAGATAGAGATGTTAATAATAAGTGTCTAGATGATAAATGTTGTAGAATCACTGATGATGTAGTACCAAGGTTAAGTGATATCCCTTCTTCATAAAATAAATATATCAAAATTATATATTAATATTATAATCTAAAGCAAATTGACAATGAAAAATATGTATTTAGTTCAGATCCTCGTGGAAAATGATACAAACAAAGCAAAGATATTATGACACAACAAAAATTCTTATTGGATGCATAACAAAATAATTCATTGCATAGGAAAAAAGAGGTAGCCCCTAACCTTATTTAAGTAATAAATTTCAAGCACAAAAAGTTTTATATATATGAAATTAACATTTATTCTTATTAAAATAGGAAAAAAATCAAAGCTCGTATTGTCAGAAGTTTGTGTTGAACATAAAAAATATATTCAACTTCTTTGTGAATTTAGACGAGAAGACAAAAAATGAATGAGTCCAAGGAAAGATAACATGCTCCAGTCTCATATCACAATCAATGTAGACGATGAAGACACTACTCTAGAATTGCCCAGGAAAAAGATAAAGATGAAGAAGGATTGATCTCGACTCAATAAAATTAAAATAGAAGCAATAAAAGATAATGTTTTGTGAATTGTTATAGAATAGTTTTATTTTTTTAATAAAATTAGGAATCTTTAGAATGGATTTTCATAAACTATTTTTAGTGCTTTCATATGCATATGTGGATGAAGTATACTAGAGTTAGCATTAATTTTTAGTTTATGAATTTTTTATTAACTATTTTGTGTCATTTTAGCTCACTTTAAATCAATCATCTTGGCTCGTTGGCTTTATTATTCGTCTTCCTTTTATAATGTTATTTTTTTCAAGTGTTTTCACTTTCATAACACTATACTTCCTCATGTCAAGCTCGGTTTCATGCCGATCCAAATGAAATAAAAATTTAAATTGGCTTTAGATTATATTTATCTCCTGATAATTCAACTATCAACATAAAAATTTAAACTGAGTGTAGCCTATTTAAACAAACATCAAATAAATAAATAACCAAAGTGTAATCGAGGAACAAATTTTAGTAAGAAAATAAACCAAAAATACTTAATCAAAGTGAGCAAAAAATATTAAAAAGCAACCGAGGAACAAATTTTAGTAAGAAAATAAACCAAAAATACCTAATCACAGTATTTAACGGCGTGCATTACACGTGCATAAAATCTAGTATATGATAAAATGACGAGACATGTACGTGGGAATTAAAGTACGTAGAAGGATGAGGAGCAGAGATAATATGTTGACGAGAGACAGAAAGGCTTGGTGTGGTGTCATCCGATGGGTGGGGTGAGTTGTGTGTGGTGGTGGGCGAGATAGGGCGTGAGTGGACGCAGTCACCGGATCGGATTGGTTGGATACACTGATACTGACGATCCAATCCCCGCTCCCATCCTCATCTCACGTTCCTCACCCACTGATAATGTTGCCATTTTTTTAATTTAGCACTTATTTTTCGAAGCCTTACATAGGGCTCGTATTTATTTATTTTTAAGGTTTTTAATATATTTTCGTCTACAAAATATGATTGTTACTCCAAAATTTAATTTTCAGAAATAATATAAGTGCTACAAAAAGCTCTAACTCCATCGGAATTAATCTAAGACCATTGTCAAAATCTGTTACCACCGCTTGTCAATCATTTCTGCTTCCGCTAGAGTTAAATAGGAAGATTAAACTTGAATACAACCAGGTTATTTTTAGTGGATAATTCCACCAATCTGAGTTAAACTTTAACAAAAACGAAAGCAAAAATCTGAATCTATTTAACATAACTTATAATTTTGAGAAACTTGTGTTCTAATATCAATATTTGAAGATCTAGCTAACAAAAGAGGCATTTCTTAACATCTATGAAAACCTTATCCTAATAATTTTTTGTACATACATCCTCAAATCAATCGTATTTGCAAAATTATTCCTCAAATCTAAATACATGCTACCCTACTCCGCAGTCATCTCATGTTGTTGTTCCTTTTGATCCTTCAATTTTCGATAGCAGAAATGTGCCCGAGACAAAGTTAATAGATTTTATTGATTTATAGTTTAGAAAAAGCCAGAGAGCGGGGAATGGGAGGTTGTGGAGAGCAAATTAGGAAGCGTCTCTCTCATTCCCTCTTGCTCTTCTCACTCTATCCAATTATAAATTAGTAGAATTTATTAACCCAATCAGGAATATGCTAGTGATATTTGAAAATTGAGGGTTGGAAAAAATAATTTGGGAGACTTGAGTAGTAAATTAGCAAATATCTAGAATTGGGCTCATCTGCTAAATATGTTAGACGTAGAGGGTTCATATGCGATGCCCTATTTCTATTTGTTTTATTCGTTTAAAATCTATTTTAAAAATGGTGGGTGGTGGTGGACCGGTGATGTCTTCTTTCTTCCGCCACCTCAAACTCAACAAACCTCAACAGGTGACTGCGAGTGACGTGTAGGGTCAGAAATAAATTACGAACGGTAATTAAATAATAATTTCCAAACATGTCATGAAAATATAACATATATCACGGAAAAAGGAAGCCAGAAGAGAGAGAGAGAGAGAGAGAGAGAGAGATGGCAATGGCGACTGCTCTTCGGAGGATATCCTCTTCAGTTCTTGTCAACAGCAGACCTCCTCTCTCTCGTACCCCCCACTTATATTACTTGGTATCGATTCAATTTTATTACCAATAAATATTGTTGTTTTATGTTTCTGATCCTTGATCTCATTCGATCGAATCCCATCTCCTGCAGTCCTCATTGCCGAGTGAAGCCGCTGCGTATGACAAAGAGAGATCTCGGGTCACGGTATTTTATTTTCATTTGCTTGATTTGATTGTTCTTGTTGTCCAATTTCCTCCCTAATTTTATGGGATTTTGCAGTGGCCCAAGCAACTCAATGCTCCTCTGGAGGATGTGGATCCGGAGATTGCAGATATCATCGAGCACGAAAAAGCCCGGCAATGGAAGGTATGCCGTCATATATATTCTCTTTGATGCTGATAAGAACTTGTGTACACGGTGTTCGATGATATGCCAACAATAAACTTTTTTATGACAGCAATTGGGTATTCGTTTTTAGTGGGAATTGGTTAATGGTTGTGATTTGTTTGGGTGTTGGTTTAGGGTCTTGAGCTCATTCCTTCGGAGAATTTCACGTCGGTGTCGGTCATGCAAGCCGTTGGATCTGTAATGACAAATAAGTATAGCGAAGGGTATCCTGGGGCTAGATATTATGGTGGAAATGAGTAAGAATCAATTGCTATTTTTGAAATCGTGTTTCTTTATAAAGGAGAATGATATGGAGAAAGAAGCAATTTTGACACCTTATTGTGGCGTATATGTTTTTATTCTTGATATGGTTTTGCTTCTCACCTTTTTAGGTATATTGACATGGCGGAATCATTATGCCAAAAGCGTGCCTTGGAGGCTTTTCGATTGGATCCTGCAAAGTGGGGAGGTAATATTTTTTTATGCCATGGTAAAACTTTTATGGTGCAATTTCTTCTTACTTTCTAAGTAATAATTGGCTTTTTTTTGTCCTTGGCAAGTAAAGCAGTAGGTTTTATAACCAAAGCATGAAGTACAAAGCTCATGTTGATAATAGTGTATTGTAGTGGGTTTTAGTCCCACATTGCTTGGGAGAACAAACCTCACACTCCTCTACTTGTATAAATATATGTGCACACTCAATATTCAATTCAAGGGAAATTTACCCAAGATTCTCTCTCTCTCTCTTACTTTAACATGGTATCAGAGCTAGGGCTATTTCCCTTTCAATAAAATTTTTAACGCTTTTGCGTTCTTTTGCCAAATCTTGGCCTTATTGCTTTGCAGCCGTTTAATGTTTTATTTTTTTTATTTTTATTTTTAATTATTTGGCGTTCATCTGCCAGATATTTTGGCCTTGTCGTTTTGCGGCCTCTTAACGCGTTTCGCGTTCTCGTTTAACCTTCGGGTTCTATTTTAAACCTTCGGGTTTCATTCTAACCTTCGGGTTCTATTTTAAACCTTCGGGTTTCATTCTAACCTTCGGGTTCTATTTTAAACCTTCGGGTTTCATTCTAACCTTCGGGTTCTATTTTAACGGCATTGTCGTTTCAAGACCGTCTCTCGGTCTCAAATTAACGGCATCGTCGTTTCAAGCCGTCTCTCGGCCTCAAACGAACGACATTAGTAACAGCATCTCGACATCTTAACGTCTCAAGATTGCTGTTATGGCTCCTTCAGAGAAGATTCCCAAACCACCTTTGCCCCTCAATGATCAAAGTGACTGGGCAGGGTGGTCCACCATTGTCACCAATGCCTTGCGTGGCGCTGGTTTGCTTGATCATCTCACCAGTACGGGACCAGTTCCACCGTCCATCAGCACTGTTGCTTCATCCAGTACTATTGCCTCTGGCAGTGGTGATGTCGATCTTCAGACTGCTCGTGCTCTCTATGTCAAGGAGAGTTCAGAGTGGCAATTGCAGGAATTTCGTGTTATGGATTATCTCACTCGCTGTGTTGGCTCTGGTCTCACTGTCGAGATTGGCTCGCTTCCCTCTGCTCAGGCCATGTGGACTCGTCTCACTGAGCGTTTCACTGAGTGCTCGGGTGCACGGGAGGCATATCTTCTGCAACGCATTTCTCTACAACGCAAAGGTAGTTCATCTCTGCAGTCCCATTTTGGACAAATGCAAGCTTTTTGGACAGAGTTACGCTCCATGCTTCCTGGACGTAATTCCACATATGAAGACTGGCTAGCCTGGTACGAACGGCATGAGGTGCATCAATTGTTTCAGTCCCTTCCTGAATATTCAACTATGGCTGATCAACTACTTCACCAGCCTCAATTTCCGACTTTGGCCTCAGTTATGGGAGCTCTCACTGCTTATGAGACCCGGCAGCAGACAGCACGACTCAATTTGTCAACAGACACTCCTACCTCTTCACTCGAGACTGTTTTGTCTGTACCTGTCACTGCTCCTGTTATGAATTATACTTCTCCACAGGCTCCCTCTCCACAGGCTCGATCTAAGCTCTCTTGCAAATATTGTAAGAAGGAAGGACACCGCATTGAGACATGCTTCAAGCTTCATCCTGAGTTACGTTCCTCAGGTACTGGACGTGGTCGGCGACCCCCTCAGTCTCAACCCTCTCGTACACCAGGATTGTTGGCCAATGCTATACCTTCTACTACTTCAGACTCTACTATTCAAGCTATTGAAAGTCTTCGCCGTCAACTTGATGCTTTTCAACATATCACCTCTACATCCGCCGCACAACTCTCTGGTATGCATTTTGCTGGTTCTTCAGCTAATCCTTCAGTCTCTGGTATGAATGATCTCTGGATTTTTGACTCTGGTTGTTCCTTTCATATGACTTGTAATGCCTCACTTTTATCCTCTGTCTTTACTTCATCCTCTCTTCCTCCTATCTACACAGCTGCTGGACAACCATTGTCCATTACTCAGTATGGCTCTATTACCCCACAAAATGATCCATCTGGTCGTCTAACACTTGGTCCCGTCTATGTGGCTCCACAATTGTGCTTGAATTTAATTTCTATTAGCTCTTTATGCATGGCGGGCCTGTTTGTCTCATTTTCTTCTGATACTTGTATTGTGCAGGATCCACAGACGGGCAAGACGGTTGGGGCGGGTCGTAGGAGGCACAAACTGTATTTTCTGGAATATCTTCACCTTCCAGAGTCCATACGTCCACGTTCTCTTGTTGCTTCTCTTTGTTCGTCAAAACCCTCTACCTCGCTTCCTGCCAATTTATGGCATAGACGACTTGGTCATGTGTGTAATAAAAGGCTGGAGAGTCTTATTCAGTCTGGAGTACTTGGTCCTGTATCATCTAGTTCTAGTATTGAGTCATGTGCTGGTTGCAAATTGGCTAAATTCACTGCTTTACCATTTAAAATGAGTACATCTGTATCCACTTCCTTATTTGATTTAGTACATTCTGATATTTGGGGGCCAGCTCCTTTGCCTTCTTCATCTGGCTACTTATATTATGTTAGTTTTATCGACGATTTCTCTCGTTTTACATGGGTTTACCTACTTAAGAATCGCTCTGACGTACTTACTGCTTATCAAGCCTTCACTGCTATGATTTTCACTCAATGGCAATCTCGTATTAAAGTTTTTCGTTCTGATTGTGCCAAAGAGTACCTATCCTCTGCCATGCGCTCTATCATGTCCTCTCATGGGACTATCTTTCAACAGTCATGTCCCTACACTCATGAGCAAAATGGTGTTGCTGAACGCAAACATCGTCATATCCTCGATACTGCCCGATCAATGCTCATTTCTTACTCTGTTCCTCGTCGTTTCTGGGCTGAGGCTATTCTCACCGCGACTCATGCCATTAATATCACTCCATCTAGCTCTCTTTCCGGTGCTACTCCTTATAGTCGTGTTTATACTCATCCTCCCCGTTATGATCTAGTTCGCGTTTTTGGTTGTCGATGTTTTGTTTTTCTGCCATCTCACGAACGTGATAAATTGTCTCCCAGAGCAGTTTCTTGTGTTTATTTAGGAATTAGTTCAGAACATCGAGGTTATCGTTGTTATGATCCCGCAACTCGTCGAGTTCATATATCTCGTCATGTTCAGTTCGAAGAGGATTCTCCATATTATTCTACTTCTGATGACTTTAATTTCCTCCACTCTACCGATCATGCTTCCCCGTCCACTGCATCACCCACTTCTTCACCTCAATTTTCCTTTCGAGATCTCCCTGACATCTCTCCCTCTCCTTCTGTTGACTCTTCCTCACCTGAGTCTTCTCTTACACCATCTAATCCATATCCTGTGGACACAACTCTCACTCCAGAAAATACTGTTGATCTTCATGCACCTGCGCCAGCATCTCCCCCGCCTGAGGTTCCTCTTGCTCTTCGTCGAGGCAAACGCCCACATGTCATGCCTGCCCGGTATGCTTCTGTTACTTCTTATTCACCTATCTTTCATAACTTTCTTGCTGCCATTCATACTATTGTTGAGCCAAAGTCCTTCCAAGAGGCAGTTCAAATTCCAGAGTGGCGACAAGCTATGGCTGAGGAATTTCAAGCATTTCAGCAAACTCATACCTGGGATATTGTTCCCTGTCCTCCTGGGATCTCTCTTGTTGGCAGTAAATGGGTTTATAAGGTCAAGTTTCGTCCTGATGGCACCATTGAACGTCGAAAAGCTCGTTTAGTGGCTAGAGGTTTTACTCAGCAACAAGGTATTGATTATGAGGAGACCTTTGCTCCTGTTGCTCAGATGCCCACTGTGCGTACTCTCCTTGCGGTCGCTGCTGCTCATCGTTGGCCCTTATACCAGATGGATGTCAAAAATGCTTTTCTTCATGGCTCTTTATCAGAGACCGTATATATGCAACCGCCTCCAGGGTCAAATATTCCTCCGGGACATGTATGTCTCCTTCGTCGTGCTGTTTATGGTCTCAAACAGGCACCCCGCGCTTGGTTTGAGTGTTTTCGCGATGTTGTGCTCAAAGCGGGCTTTATAGAAAGTCATCAAGATGCTTCTCTGTTTGTTCGCACTACATCGCGTGGCAGGGTTTTATTACTCATCTATGTAGATGATATGATCATTACAGGTGATGATATGACAGGTATACAATACGCAAAATCTCAGTTGCAACAACAGTTCCACATGAAGGATCTTGGATCTCTTCGGTATTTCCTTGGTCTAGAAATTTCTCAAGGCCCGCGGGGTGTATTACTGTCTCAACAGAAGTATCTCTCAGATATTCTAAATCAAGCTGAGTTAACTGATAATACAACTGTCGATACTCCACTCCAGCAGAATGTCAAACTTTGCTCTACTGACGGTGAGCCTCTATCTGATCCTACCCGATATCGACATCTTGTTGGTCAGTTGGTCTATTTGTGCATCTCTCGACCAGATATCTCTCATGCTGTTGGTATTGTCAGTCAATTTGTTAGTGCCCCACGTTCTGTACACTATGCTGTCTTATTACGGATTCTTCGGTACCTCCGGGGTACTAGCACTCGCTCACTTTTGTTTCCTGCTACATCTAAGTTAGAGCTTTGTGCATATTCTGATGCTGATTGGGCTGGTGATCCAACTACCAGAAAGTCTACCACAGGTTATTGTATATTTCTTGGTGATTCCCTTATTTCCTGGCGAAGTAAGAAACAAGATGTTATTGCTCTTTCCAGTACTGAGGCAGAGTATCGTGCAATGTCCACAACAGCTAAAGAGATTATTCATCTTCGTCGCCTTCTCAGTGATTTCGGTATTTCTGTTACGACTCCTACTCCTCTCTACTGTGATAATAAGAGTGCCATCCAGATTGCTAATAATCCAGTATTTCATGAAAGGACCAAACATATTGAGATCGACGCTCATTTTGTCCGTCACCAAGTTATCAAGGACAAGACAATTCTACTTCCTCATGTTTCATCCGCTGACGAGCTTGCAGATTTCTTCACAAAGGCCTTACCTGTTCATCGGTTCCAGTTTCTTGTACGCAAACTCACTTTGTTTGATCCAACATGAGTTTGAAGGGGGCTGTTGATAATAGTGTATTGTAGTGGGTTTTAGTCCCACATTGCTTGGGAGAACAAACCTCACACTCCTCTACTTGTATAAATATATGTGCACACTCAATATTCAATTCAAGGGAAATTTACCCAAGATTCTCTCTCTCTCTCTTACTTTAACAGCTCAAAAACACTCATTCCCTGTACATAAAATCTATGTGAAAATGGGAAGAAAGTTCTCACATGGGAACACTGCCTTCTATTTTCTAAAGTAGCTTTCATCTTTTGTACAGAATTAAGCCTAATCTTCAAGTCATAGAAAAGTTGATTGTCTAGATTTTCAACTTTGTGGTTGTACCCGCTCAAAAATCAATTTATTCCTAGTTCTCCATATACCATGCACTGCTGCTGCAAGCCTAGCTTTTAGCATTTGTTGTTTAGCCCCCTTTCCAGAAGGTTTTTTTTGTCAAACCACTGCAAAACTTCTGGCCAATGTTGATGAGTAGTGGGTACTTGCGAAAAATCTCTTGACTCTTCTCCACACGTCTCTACCAATCTGACATCGAAAAATAGGTGATTAGCAGTTCCATTCTCCAGTTTGTATCACACTTGCCACCGGTGCATGATGGGCTCTTTTTTGATTTACTGTAGAGTTAATGTTTACCCTCATGCATTTTTTTTCGCTAAAAAAAATCTGGCACATAAGAAACCATTTTTTATCTATTTAGACAGTGTAGGATATGCATTGCTTCTTGAGATTTTGTGTTACAACAGTTTCAAATGGTGCGAAAATATAAACAATTCAGTTTTTTACACTTAAACAGTCATGATGGCACTATATCTGGTGGTGTTAGTTTCTTATATGTATATGGAGATGCTTCTGTTCATGGACCTAGTAGTTCATGTTTGTTTGTTGGGTTGATTTCACAAAACCCCCTTGAACTTCCGG